TTGTCTACACTGTTGTTTAGAATCTCTTAAGAGTTAGGGCAGTCCCTCTTACTTACTGCTACTCCATTTATATGCCTCATACCTCATTGATTACTTCTGAAGTTCTTTAGTACACAGTGACTTATTAAAATGTAAAAGGTAATTGTGTTAACTGGTTTTGAAATATAAGAAGTTGTATTGGTATGTGAATATACATTCCTTATTGTTACTTGAAAGTAAGACCATTTTCCCAGAACTCTTTAGTTTCTCATTAGGTCATATTTGTATTGGATATAGGCATATCATGTTGCTGGTTAACACAGGTTCGCCTGCTCTGACAAATAAACTGAGCTGAGACAATTAGGGCCAGGAACTGAAAGCTTAATCAAAATAGGTTTGTGAAATCGATGATTCGCTTGAGTATACAAATGGGTTTGGGAATTTGCCATGGTTCAGACCTGGAATGTACCTTATATAGATTTATATCTTTGCACAGATGAAGAAATGATTTGGAACCCAATTTTTTTCTTTTTCTTTTTTATAATAAAAACTTTCTTTGAGAATTTCAATATATTTTGATCACATTCACATCCCACTCCTTCCCCTGACTCCTCCAAGATTCATCCCACCTCTCCATCTTACCCCTCCCAACTTCATGCCTCCCCCCACACTTTTTAACATACTCTACTGAGTCCAGTTTGGGATACCCACATCCTCATGGTGAGGCTAGCTTCTGGAGCTTGGTAGACCTGTCAGGGGCCACACTATTAATTAGACAGAGTCTCTCCCATAGAAGCTATCAGTTGTCAATAGTTCCTTAGGTAGGGGTGGGAGTTTCTGAGCAGAACGGTAGCTGACTTGATTTGTGCAGATCTGTGCAGACAGCCACAACCACGACTGTTGTACGCTCATGACAGCACCAGTAGACTCCAGAGTCTACTGCCAACCAGACCCAATTATCCATGGCAAAGGTACAAGTATAATTTTGTGCTATAAAATATTACAATACTATAAAATAATTAAAATGAAGTAGGCAACCAGAATCCATTAATAATAGGATTTGTTTACTGGAATCAGTATTGAAAATATTCAACTTCCACCGGCAGTAGTTTTCTAGAAGGGAGCACAGAGCCTTCATTGCTGAAGTCCTCGTACAGTGATGTGCTCAGTTAGGCATTAGGATAAGCTCACACTTGAGTGTTCACATCAGAAGCCTAGGTTTACAGTCAGTGAGTGTGTCAGCATAGTATTTAGATAGCATACTTAACAAATGAGTGGATCTAATATAGGAAGAAGTTGAAGAACCTTTTCTTTAGAACTGTGGGCTGCATTCTGCTTCTGTCCAGCTGAAGCATTCCTTGTAGCACTGTGATGATTCTAGGAGATGGGAACATAAAATTGTCTTAGATTATTAGTGTTCAATTCTTTGGGGCTGGGGTGTAGCTCGTTGAGTAGAATGCTTGCCTAGCGTGTAAGAAGCGCTGAGGTCCGTCCGCAGTATTCCTACAGGGGAGTGTGGCACACACATGTCATCCAGCCTTCAGGAGGTGGAGGCAGATCAGTTCTTCATCTTCTACATCTCCAGTTCAAAGCCAATTTGGAATACTTTGAGACCATGCCTCAAAAAAAAAAAAAATCTCTTTTTCTTTCTACTTTATAGCCTTTGTCCATAGATCACAAATTTACACTAATTGTAACCTTTTTTAAAAAATTTGTTTTACCTTTTTAAAATTTATTTTCTGTATATGAGTACTCTATCTGCATGTACACCTTTGTTTCAGAAGAGGGCATCAGATCCTACTATAGTTGGTTGTGAGCCACCATGTGTTTGCTGGGACTTGAACTCAGGACCTCTGGAAGAGCAGCCAGTGCTCTTAACCACTGAACCATCTCTCCAGCCTTTGTTTTACCTTTTAAGGTTACAAAATAACTAAAGCACGGAATCCAGAACTTGAATGGTTTAACAGTCCCCTAGCGCTCCTCATGGTGACAGTTCTATTACCTGCTCTAAAATCTCTTTTGAATCTGTTTGTCAAAAGAAAACCAATTCCTTAAAAACTCTTAGGAGATAAAACTTAACTAAATATTTTTTTTTGTTTTGTTCTTAGCCTTTCACTTCATATTATTTGCCTGTGTTGATGTGGTTTTTTTTTTTTCTAGTCTTGTGTCCTTAGTGCTATTCGGGGAGATGAGTTTCCAGTGTAGTGACTTTCATCCTTATGGGACAGATGGAATGCCCCTTCTCTGGTTCTCACGTCTCCATCAGCCAGTGAAGTCAGCTCTGGATCTCTGGAGCCAACAACAGTTTGTGTTGTGTTGGAGAATGGGATTTTAGTAGAGTCTTTGGTAGTTCCAAAGAAGACTGAAATCATCATTATGAGATTTTTTTTTTCAAGGTATTATATGGCCACAGGTATTTAACTGTGAGGTTAAAGACTGTTAGTGGTCTTTCACAACTTTCCATATTTTTGTATATTTGTCTTGACCCAAAATAAGTTTTATGCCTTTGTTCCCGTGTATATGTCTGTCTTAATACCTTGTAAATAATCTTTGCATATAATTAAAAATTATGTGCTATATTCCTTGAAGGTATTTTGCTTTCTTGTTTGGTTTCACCTCTTAGTTAGGGAAAGCGGAGTTAGAGTTTTGGCTCATCCCCATGTTGATGCCAGTTTATCTGCAGACTTTATTACATGTATTTGTCAGGGAATTAGAACCTTTTAAGTCCCTGTGAGTCCTGCTATTAGAGATCATTCAGTTCCAGCTTAAGAACTTAGTTCATTTCCACAAAGCTAAGATGTTCAAGGCAGGTGGAACTATATCAGACCTAAAGTATTTTAAAATTTGATCCAAGATGGTGATTTGGATATAGAGAATAGCTTTAGGGATTTTATAATCATTTTAGTTGACATTCTACAGAAGTCTACTATGTTGAGAACCTTCCAGAACAAACAACCATTAATAAAGGTAAATTTGTGCTGCCATCTAAAACATGCGGTATGTCTTTAGAGATACAAGCTTGTTTCTACTGTACTAAATAGCATGCTTGATTCAATTTATTTACTGTATATATTGTTGTCTGTATCATTCTAAAGTTTGTCTCAGTGCTGTGGGATATTAGGTAGAATTCAGGGCCACACTGTGACTTAGAGTTTTAAGTCTGATGAGTTGTGGTGTTTGTCTCAATAAAATACTTTATTGAGCTGGCATTCTTATAATCTTAACTACTTCACGGGCCAGTGTGGGCAGATTGTCAGCTTAAGACTCTCCTGGACAGTTCAGTAAGAATCCGTCTAAAAAACCCCACTCATACATACACACCAACAAAACAAAACAAAAAAAACAACACACACACACACACACACACACACACATACATATATACACACACACAAATCCCAAACACGCACACATACACACATAAAATACAACTCCTGCCCCAATACTAAGAAACAAAACAACCCAAAATCCAAACACACACACACAAAATTAAAACGCTTTATTTGAGAAACGTCTTCATATTTCTGTTTGGTTTACATTCACCACAAACATATCTTCTTCCAAATCCACAGAAATAGATACTTTGATATGAAACATAAAAGATACAAATTCTTCTTTTGTTTTTTGTCTTCAGTGTGTTCTTTCCATTGAAGAGTGTGGTCATGCCAGCTAGCATGTCTTTAATCTTAGCACTTAGGATCTGGATGCAGGAAGGTGATTTCAGAACCTGCCCTGGCTGAGACCAGCTTGGGCTGTATGAACCCTGTCTCAAAAAATGTCATATTTTGGGGTGTGTGTGTTTGTGTCTTGTTTATGCTCTCAAAGGTAAGAAAGGACACCTGGTCCCTTGGAGCTTGAATTCCGTAAGTCATGAGCTACCCAGCATGGGTCCTGCAGCTGGAATGGTGGTGTCTGCAGGGGCAGGCAGCCTCCCAGCCGTCCTCCAGCCCATTGTCCTGGTTTGATAGGAGGGCTTCCCATGTAGCCCAGACTGGCTGCACACTCTAAATCTCTTGGGCTCTTTGTCTATTGTTGTTGCTGGGATTTGGGCTTAGGGCTATATTCTTGCTTATTTTTTATTTTTAAGTTATTAAACTGTGCCCAAAGTTAGCAGAATACTGTGCCACTAACCTATATCACCAAGTCATGATTTATTTTTAAAATCTAATTTATTTTACCATGAATATAATTCATGAATTCCCCTAACATAACAGACTTCATTTGATGTTTATCTGTGGAAATTTTATTATCACTACATCAGCCTTGATGCGGAATTATTTGGGAAACATTTGGCCAGTGTTTTCTGTGTTTTTCCTGTAACCGCTTTCACAACTCTTAGGAGTGTCACTAGCTGGCAGCCTTTCTGAAAGGAACTCGTTCTCAAATTCCTCAGATACAGTTTTATGAAATTAGTTCTCTAAAATAAGTCATGGACCCTACAGTTATATACCATCTAAGTATGCTATGCTGAGGCCACCAGAGGGATTACAGAACCATTCTTTGGGGTTTTAAATGACCTTGCACATATATATATATACTTCTTAAAACTAATTTCCTGAAGGGAAATTAACAGCATTGAATGCCTATTGATTGATTTGAAACTTGTATCTTCTTGTTGAAGAGTTGCCTCATAGACTGCAAATACGTGCTCATAGACTGCAAATACGTGATATATTATTTTGAGTAAAATGACGTGACTGTTTTAGTATTGTTTATAGACAGACTCTTAAGATGCTTTAAAATACGTACTGCATTAACATAGCAATTTCTTGTTTTAAATTAAACTGATATACTAATCATATATTTTAAAGTTTTTGCAAACTCTCATTTCCTTGAAAGAATAAAGGTTGGTTTGCTTGTCGCTATATAATTAAACACACGTTTTTATTTGTAATGATTGAGAGAGGCAAGTCAGATCAGCCATGTTCTTACTACTTGATTTTATTTCTACATGAGATTAACTTGTAGATTACTTACACATGCTTAACTTTTTAATTATCTTTTTTCTTCTTTTCTTAAAGATGATACTTGTTGATGCCACTGTTATCATCCTCGTAGCAGAAGATAGTCCTACTGAGAAAATGAGCACTTTGATCATTCAGTCTTTGAACTTTAACCTTTGACTGGAAGTGACCTATAGGCAATGAAGACTACTTCCTTTTACTGCATTTTTACTCGTGTGCATTCTGGGCGCATGTTGATCGCTGGCGCAGTCCAGGCAACTGACATGCTTTATTAGTCATACAGTATTAATGCAGGTGTCAGGAAATGTCAAATATAATTCCATTTTTTATTTTTATTTTTTTAAGCTTTTGGAAAAGTTCCAGGTCCTCATGTATTGTGCAATAACAGTGACTTCCTCGGTGGTCTGGGGACGTTCATTGCCGGCAATGGACGTTGTAACAGGAAGAATTTTCTTAACTCCTGCCACTTGGTGATTAATGCATGATAGGGCCTATGAAATGAATTTATCGGTTATCGTGGGATTTATAAAGAAAGTGAGGGATCCAACATTACATTGAAAGTCACCCCAACTGTTTATATTTGGATTCTATGCACTGTGATCCTAAGGCTAACAGCATGAAATAACATGCATCTTTAAAGGACCGTAAGAAAGATCATTGTGTATTTATTTAATTGTTTATCTGCTGTCAAATTGTTTTGACATGGAAAGTTTTCAAGGAACATTGGCAGAGAGGTACAATATGTTATCCCTGTGGTGAAAATAAATTCATTTGTTGTATATAGTCCTCAATCTCTGAAGTGAAGGTGTGAATAATATAGGGTATGAATGGTTTAACCAAGGCTTTATTTTGGAAGTAAAAAATGGCAGTGATGCTTAAATTACTGCCACCCATCATCTGGGCCTGTCCCCCCCACCCAAGTATATTATACTCTGTCATTTCCTGCTAGCCATCAGCATGAGCCCTACTGCCTAGACACTATTTCATTTATTTATGTTTGGAAATCCATAAACATTTTTGTTTGTAATCTTGTTTCTTTTGTTACATTTTAAGTTGTTTGAATGTTACGATACTTTAATTGAAAAACTTTTGTCAAGTTTTTTTCTTGTAAATTTTCTTTACTTGTATCATCTTGTCCTTTAATCCTGTACCCTAAAATGAGAAATACATTTTTGACAGAGGCTTAATGTTTTAACAAAAGAGTGTGGACATTTTTATTTTAAGATTTTGACAAAAGAACACCATAAAATGATATGTTTGCTTATTTGTCTCACACAACCATACAGGTTTTCTTGGAAGAATTTGTTTTATTTGTTGAAAAGATTTTGCTTACCGCTAGATGAAGTTTTTCTATCTGTCTGTCTGTATCTGTCTTATCTATCTATCTATATCTAATCTATAAAATGGTTGTTGGAAAGATTCCATTCTAAGTACCATGTACCATGTAAGTTAATGATGCTACTAGGTCTTTTTAAGAAGCAATTAATGTATTTTATAAATTACCTTTTCACATATGCAAGCTCTGTTTCTATGACAATGTCATTTTTACTAATGCCTTACTGTTGCACTCTTTGAATATCCTGCAGTGAATCTATACATCGATTGGGGCTTAAAAGCTAAAGCCAGTTGGCCGAAAGGTCTGACATATGTACCCCTAAAATCATCCAGTTGATGATTGGGAAAGAATATTTTAGAAATTGTTTTTAATCTCTGTGTAGACGACATTTTGTAGCTTTGTACATGTTGTTAATTAAGGGCATATAATTTTACACTCTAAAAGATAACTGCTGAACTCAGGGGTGGGTAGACTTCAAAAATATGTCTGCTGTAGAAATAACTTGAAAAAATAATTAAAACTATGGCCAGCCACCAAATTGTGGACCCTGTTTATACTGCTAGGTAGCAATGGTCATTTGTAAAGATTGTGATCATTTCCTTCTGTCTTGACTGGATGTGCATAAGTTCTCACAGTGATCATTGTTAGTTTTGTTAGTTGGCCTATTTAAGACAAAAAAATCTTTAAATTCTTTGTTTTCCACTGCTTTTCGTATGGAATTACAGCTCTAAATTAGGTGTTCCTATGTTTTATGTTGCTGCTCTAAAATACTAAATAGCTTGTGTTTTTTTTTTCAGGGTAGGGTGGGGCAACACGGGGAGCTCTTCTGCTTCGTGGTCCTCTTACTAAGATCCTTCCGTGGGAAGTGACCTGTGATGTTTATTTACCAAAGGAATCGATACACCAGGCCAGGCATTAGTAGTGCTGTAGTGTCAAGTGCCAGCTCCAGTTGTCTTTACAACAGTGTTTTAATATACCTCTGTATGTACAGATGCTAGAACACAGATTCAGTGTTTTAATATACCTCTGTATGTACAGATGCTAGAACACAGATTCAGAGAGATGGACGGAAAGAGTGAAAACCATACAATTTTAGTTCACTTTTGGTTCCAGGTGAAGAAACGAAGAATATATATCTAAAATATAGGAACATCAACTATTAATAAATAATAATCACACTAACACTACTCCCTTGAATTTAGGAGTAATTGAAAATTCTTTTACATTATTAAAGATGTAAGATGTGTATCTGGGTCATTGTTCAGGTTAGGGAAAATTGTGGCTTCAATAAAACAAATATTTTGCTGTAACATTATTGAAAGATAACCAGGATTACAAGAAATTTATATGAGGTGCACTGAGCTCATCTCCTTCTCCCTGCATTCCCGCCATTAAGTACTAACCTGCAACATTGTATTTTACACTTAAAGGCTGTGTCTGTCTGTCTGTCTCTCACGCATTTTAAACATATGCGATACACGCAGCTCCTTGTTTCTGCAGTTATGAACTTGGTGCCCTTATGAATACAGACGAATGCTGTAGGTTTTATGGAGAAAAGTTATTTTCAGTTTTGTGGGAAAATTTTGTAAAGATGGATTTTGTTGTTCTCTTCAGGAGTCAATATTTACTTCTAAAAACATATAATGTGAATTATTCGTATAGCCAGTGGGGAAGAGCATTTTTACGCCCTGGGAGAAGGGCTGGCACTTGTTTGTGGCCAGCAGTCCAGCGGGAGAAGGGCGCTAATCCTTGTTACTTCCAGTGAGTGTATAGAAGTAACTAGGTGGTTTACCGTTTTCTCCTTCTGACTTTAAATATATGCAAACACACACACACATATCATTAGTTACCTGCAATGGTTAGTAATTTCTTGGGATTCTAAAACAGATACCTAGTGACTGGTTTGTTCCATTAAAGTAATAGAAATGATGAGTGATACAAAAAATGGCATGTAAGTAAGTTATTTCTGGTAATGAAATCTTTTTAAAACCCTATTGTTTTTGAGAATTGCAATATTTAAAACTTGTTAAAACTTCCTAGAAGTAGAGTAGAAGAGGAGGCACTGTGTATTCAAAGGTTGGTTTTCTCTTTTTGTAAAATAAAAAATTCAGTATCACTAGGTCTTACCGTTCATACTGCTGCTTATATTTTTCATTTTTATTAGTTTTTTATGTATCTTAGTTGAAAGCTTAACGTTTATAATTATGTTTAATTGAATTTGCATGTAAATTGGTTTTCAAAAAGTACCTTTCTGAAGATTCATTTTTAGTCTGTAGAACTGAGAGTGTCACTCAGTGGCAGCTGCCCTGGAGAGGCCCTGAGCTCCATTTGCACCATGACAGAGCCTGGCAGTCAGCCCCAGAGCCCAGGAGTCAGCCCCAGAGCCCAGCAGTCAGCCCCAGAGCCCGGCAGTCAGCCCCAGAGACCAGCAGTCAGCCCCAGAGACCAGCAGTCAGCCCCAGAGACCGGCAGTCAGCCCCAGAGCCCAGCAGTCAGCCCCGGAGCCCGGCAGTCAGCTCCCCCCTCCCTAGTTGTGTGTTGTGCCGGGATCTCTAAGACTTGGCATAGTTGCGATCTCTGAAGGTGTCTGTTGCAGCAGCTGCTCCAGCCCTTGTTTTCCTTCTGAGGACTCCCTTTCTGCCACCCTCTTACCCCCTCTGCTCACAGATGCTCAGTGTCTTCCACAGTTTACTTTTCTGACTTTGAAGTTAGGTTTTGGTTTTTTCTTTTAACTTAGGGAATCTAGGATGGAATATTGTTAAAATTAAATCTGGAAATTTTAAGAAAAACTACTTTCTATAAATAACATTATTATATTTGGTACCTAACTTCATTTCATCAGCAGGTTGTTAAATATATTAGGTAATTGACAGAAATAAGCTGTGAGCTGTGGTTGAATTTCTCAATAGTGACACAGAGGGTTTCTACTTGTTTCTTTTTAGATAGGGACTCTCCCAGAGTCTACTGTTTCTCACATTAATTGAGTTGTTTTTACATTTAAATATGGTGTTATTTTCCTGAAATTATTTATGGGTGACTTTTTTCCCAGCATAAATTATTCATTAACTCCAAAGACAGGATTTTAGGCATCATTCTCTTTAGAGGCACAGAGAATCTGAATTTTTCAGACTTAGCTCTCTGTGCTAGTGCATTGATCTGGTAAGTGAGGTAATGGTTGTTATTCCAGTTCCCAGAGTTGTTGATACTTAACATTTGGTTTTTTTGTCTATGAGTGATTATAAGATTGTCCTAAAAACTTCTGTCAGTTAAGTTGCATTGTGCTACTTTGATTGTGTGAAAGGAAGGCGTGGATGGACTCAAGTCTCCCCACCCCTGGAATCTCTGGTGCGCGTGGGAAGAGCTGGCGGTGACAGAGACTGAGTTCTTGCTCTCTTGGCACGCGCACCGCCTGGGTTTTCAGGACTAGCTGATGCAATCATGTAGATTGTTTTCTCAAAGAGAAAGCATACTAAAAACTCTTTCTGGACTTTGTGTGACGCGTAACTTGTCACAGTCCCTGTTTGTAGAAAGACTGAAAACGTCCACTGTCTTAAAGCTTGAAAGAGAACTCTGAAAGCATTGTGAGACTTTTACCAGATGCCATGAAGATGCAAGTCTCTTCATAATAACAGCAAATCCAAATAAATGCAAATTGTCAGGCACACAGTAAAGAACTATTTGAGTGGAACTAATTACCTAGTAGTCAAGAATTAAGTACATGTTCAGGTCAAATTGAATTTGTTCATGTTGTTGCTGCCATAATTTGGTTCACAGTATAGATTGTGCATTTGATTAGGAATGGAAGCTCATGCTTGAGGATTTGAATTGGGCGGGTATATATATTTTATAACTCAAATTGCAAAAATATGTAAAGTAACTACTTTTAAATAGAATGTAAATATTAAGATTTGTTATATATTTTTCAATACATGTACCAACCTTTTGTTAGTTGAACATAGGTTACTTTGTGTGCTTTATGGAACTTAGTAACTTTTAACAATAAAGGTGTTGTCATTTGCTCTCCCCACCCCTGTATACTTGAATACTACATTGGATAAGTATAGAGTTCTTTAAAGTTTATAATAATGTAAAGTTTAGTTCATATAGTGGTTCTCGTGTATGAAAGCCTATTTTTTAAAAGATGTTGGAAACAAATAACGTCTCTTTCCAGAACGAGTGCGTGACATGAAGGGCATCCCTGAAGCGCTTCTTCACAGGTGCTCATTACTCAGTGTGGGGGCACTTTATATTTCGGTGAAGCCAGTCCTGGGAAGATGATCATCTGCAATTCAGGACAGCCCGGTGATTAACTAAGACCTTCTCCCCCACACTGAAAAGGACTGGAGATGTAGCTCAGCGCTGTCTCCTGCCTAGCCTCAGCCCCTGATCTTGAAACTGAACAAAGCATATCTCTTACTACAGAGTGACAGGGTATACTGGGGATGGTGCTGCATGCCTTCTACCCCAGCACTTAGAAGGCAGAGACGGGCGGATCTCTGTGAGTTTGAGGTTAGCCTGATCTACATAGTTCCAGGATAACCAGGGCTACATAGTGAAACTCTTGTCTTGGGGTGGGGGTGGGGCAAAAACATGAGTGGCAGGGGAGGGGAAGATTTGGGAATTAGAAATTGAGACCTGGACACTTACAGTTGCCATGTGTCTGACGTTGTTAACTTAGACGTGTTATGGTTAACAAGACCTCAATATAAAGAATTCCTGGATGCTTTTCTGAGTATACCGACTGTCAGCTAAGATGAGTGATTCTTGAAGCTACAAGAAGAGAGAAGGAAATTAGCAGAAGGGCTGTTGCTGCATCACTCCAGACAGGCAGGGAGGGGATAAGTAAGCTTGAACTTTCTTTTCCCTCAGGAGACCTGCTTGTCTGTGAACACCTTAGTCCTCTGTCAGCACGCTGCTGTTGAGCCCTAGCCCCTCGCTCCGTAGATGGCCAGACAGGTGCAGCAGCTTGCTTTTACTTTGCCATTCTCCACAATCCTTAAAGTATTTACTGCTTCCCACAGTAGGTCTGACTTTTCTCCACTAGTTTAGACTGCTGTGAATATATATGTGAGTCTGTTAATGTCCTTCCACTGGTAGGTAGTGCATTCATACAAAGGCAACTTGCAGTCCAATTAAAACAACCGAGTTGAAAGGTCAGCGCTGTGTACTTGAATAGGTAAGGACAGAGCCACGGTATTCTGCTTCTGCCTTGGTGTTCTGTTTCTGCCTTGGAGGGAATCCTTTGAAATATTTTTTGATTGCTTATGTTATTTTAAAAAGTATTATTGGATTAATGCAAGGTGCATACATGAGAACCCGTGTGCCGTTTTCAGTAAGGAACACCAGTAATTCTCCTTAGGGAAAGGAAAGTAAAACTCCAGGGTAGGAAGTACCTTTCACGTCTACCTCACCTCCGAGGACACTGGAGATGATATGTGTCACTGGGCAAAAGCCCGAGTATGGCTACCTGTGTCCTGCATATATTTGACTCAGCATGAACAAACTTGGAATCTACTCTTACTCCAATAAAAGCAAATTTCTATCTTTGCTGTTGTAATTTAATGCCATTGTTTTCTGTTCTGATTACCCAAGAGTCGGACAGTTCACTAAGTCTGTTCTCACATTTCTTATCAAGTCTTAGTGAATCCAGCCTTAAAACATCTCCCTCTCTTTCCAGTTCCTTGGTCTTTATGGGTGTCCATCACCTGCCTAGACTTCCCAGGCTACTCTTGGCCACTACCAAGCCTTGTTCCAAAGTCGTAGTAACATAAGATTATATATTGCTAATGTTCTTGAATCAAAGGCCCAGCACTGCTTTTCTTTTTCTTTTTTTCTTTCTCTCTTTTTGTTTTTTTTTTTAAAGTATCAGCAGGGCAGTGGTGGCACACACCTTTAATCTCAGCAATAGGGGTGCAGAGGCAGACGGACCTCTGTGAGTTCAAGGCCAGTCTGTCCACAGAATTAGTTCCAAGACAGCCAGGGCTACACAAGGAAACCTTGTGGGGATGGGGATAGGCTTATTTTGACTGTTGTGTGTGCATGCACTCGTGCATGTGTGTGTACGCGCGCGAGCATGCATGCATGCATACATGCATGCATGTTTGGGCAGTGCCTGCAGGTGAGGGTTTCTGAACCTCTGAGTCATTGTGAGCCTTTGTAATCGGGTTGGGTTCACGCCGGTCCATGGAAAGAAGACACAGCACTCCAAGGATGGTGTTCTAGTCTGTCCAGCAGCAGGGCATCAGAACCTTATCTAAGAAACATCTTAGTTTGCCAGTCCTCCCACAACCAAGGTTTTGCATAGACCCTGAACCCTTAGGAAACTATCAGATAAGATTTACATATTTCAAACAGAAGGTACTGGAGAGAAAAGGTAGCAGTCACAAAAGGCAGATGAAAGCTAAGCGCTATCCCTCCAGAATCAAAGTGGCTGCAGGATTTGCAGGACCTCCCCTAACTGAGCTGCTTGCCGGTACTGGGAACTGTATCCAAGTCCTCTGCAAGAGCAGCAAGGGCCTTGCCAGCTGAGCCATCCCTGGGCCCCAGCATCTGCTTTTCTACCCGAAGGTTGTGTTACACTCAGCTAGTAAAGCAAGTCATCCTTGTCCTGTCTTCCCTCTTCTCAGTCCTGTGTCCCGTGTCCTCTGATCATAGGAAGACCACTGCAGTTGTATTGGTGATCTCAGCCCATAAGAGACAGTACTAAGTATTTGGGTTTTTAATAAATGTGTCTTGAATTGATTATACTTGTATCTTTTTTTTTAAAAAAAGAATTGTTTATTTATTTGGGTATTTTGTACACCAGAAGAGGGTGTCTGATCCAATGGCACTTGTGCTTCATGTGCCTGCTGGGAATTGAACTCAGGACCTCTTGAAGAACAGCCAGTGCTCTTAATGAGCCATCTCTTGTGCACTATGTTTGTAGCTTTAATCCTGTCTTTTTGAGAAAAATATTCAGACCACCATGTGAGGAGTCAGTTGAACAGTTCCCTTCTTGTCCCAGAGTCTTGAGAAATTTGCTCTTGAATCATTAATTTATTGATTGTTTTTGCCCATTTGAAGAAGTGTTTATCATATCACTACCCCATCCCAGAGGCAAATTGCTTGCCTTGAGTTATTCATAGATAAGAAGGTAGGTGTTTTAAACTCAATACGTTCTGGGAACGGTGAGTCTTAACTCTGACCCACATTAAACAGATACTTGCTGAGCAGATTGTCTCATTGGCCAAGTAGGGAAGTACATAGGAAAGGACACAGACCTTGAAAAGGCTTACGTCATAAGGGAAGTAAGTAGAAAGCTGTACATCGTGAAAAGTAAAACCCTCGCCTGCGCACGTGCGCAAGCGCACACAAGCTGCTGTCAGTGCCAGTATCTGAGAAACAGTAGCCAACGTCAGAAGTGTAGAGGCTGGTGGACAGGAGCAAGGGGAAGGTGAGTACCGTGGTGAGGCGGGTGGACTGCAGGGGACTGGAGAAGCAGGATGGAACCAGGTAGGCGGCTCATTCATCTCCAAAGTGGAGACGTAGCCTTCATTTCCACGGCTGAGCTGAGCCCAACTCAAACTGCTTACATCTCAGGACTTTCATGGCAGAGAGGACAGCTTCACTAACCTCTCTTGGGTGCTTGTTTAGTGTCCCTTTTGAAACGGTGTCACCCAGTCACAAGGCTAGTCTTGAGTCCCTGGGACCTCAGCCGTGCTGGGGACACTGCCTCCCTAGTTTCCTGCAGCAGTCACATAATCAAATACTTTGATCGTTGTTTTTCGTTTCAAGATTTTTCAAAGATACGTCATGCAGTAACAAGGATTAATCTTACTAGTGAAATAATATATGAGTGCGTTGAAACTTCTTAAGTTGTTGCTTTGCTCCAGGAGTTCCTGCAGGTACCTAATGGCACACTTAACTACATTGCATATTGACATTCTGTTTTAGAACGTAAGTCTGGTTTAGAAGGATTTTGCCATTTTAAACAAGCTTGGAGACATTAGTGCACATGATTTTTGTTACGTGCCATAACTTTACCTGTGTAGCTGGGTTTGTGTGTATTTTGTTCTAAAGCATGCTCTTAGTTTGGTGATCCCGTTCTGTTTGCTGCTTCTCTGTTCCGTATGCCATTGTATACGAGCTCTTCATCCTAGCAAGAACATGCCCAGGTCTGTTTTACGTCTTCTTAGCTAAGGCCATGCTTACAGCATGCTTTTCATGTTTGCAGCTTAGCATGTTATATAAATATGTAACTATCGTACTAATGTCTGCCCAAAACCTAAGTAATACCACTCAAGCCATTTCTTTATACTAATTGCTTTATTTTAAAAAAGATCTCTGGGCTGGAGTGATGATTCAGGTTAGGAGCACTTGTTTGCTTTTGCAGATGACCTGGGTTCAGATCATAGCTCACCATCTGCAACTTGAGTTCCAGTGGGTCTGATGTCTTTTTATGACCTCTGTGGGCATGCATGTGGTACACATAAGTATATGTAGACAAAATATTCAAACACATCTTTTTTAAAAATTTTCAAAAGATGTTGGGTTTTCAGGCACAGCTGGTCTATAGGCCCCGATGGTTATTTCAGTTCTGTTTGAGGGGCTGAATTCCACATTTCACTTTCTTACATATAGGAGAACTAGGTGTCACAGAGGGATGTGCGGTTGGCACAGCGGCTGCATTACCAGGACATGGGTTCCTCAGCTGTCCCTGGGCTCTTGGCAGGACAAAAGTTAATATCCTTTAGGATCCAAATTGGCTTTCCTGTGCTTCCCTTCATGTTTCAAATCTCCATTGTGGCTTGGTTTCTCCAGCTCAGACTTGTGGGTCTTTCACAAACTAACAGTCCTCTCGCCCTCCTAACTGCAGTGTCTGCTTCCTGGAGGTGCCAGACCAGCACCGTTGGCACCGAGTGTGGTGCAAGGAGAAGGTAAGGTGGGACTTGGACATGATCACTCGTTATCTGCCTCATAAAGACTCATCACATATTGCAGACGGCGTTTGAAAAGTCCCTGCCACTGGTATCTTGTGACCTTGTTAAA